GGGGTCGAATAATCAATATAGTCATTTGAATATTATCAAATTAATGACTGTATTGATTATTCGACCCCCCTCAAATAACACAAGATTTAAAAAAATCGTATACATAAAAAACCCCTACCCCGTTTTCTTGATTTATTAGTATGAAACGTCATGAATACCCTATTTAAGGGACAAGAAACGCTGCCGTGGATTATGCGGGGATTTTTAAAGATACTGCCGGGTAAAACCGGGGATTTTCGAAACTCACGGTGGGTAAAATCTCATGGCCAGTCTGGCAACACTGGACCAAACCCTTGGTGCTGAGCCCTGGCTGGGGATAGGGAGTGGAGATAATGCCTTAAGTCCATTTGTCATACCCACCCAATTGATCTAAACCAGTAAACTCAATGCTGATGTAGAATTGTAGCTCTCAGGTTGCTGGACAAATATCAGATACAATTTTCAACAGTTTTATTTGACTTATGCCCACTTAAATAATTGAAAGTGAAGATTTTTGTTATGTTACTTTTGTTTTGATGTACACTACAGGGCTTGTATGATTAAGGATCCTATGTTAACCAATGGAAAAGTTGAATGAATTACCTGTGTGTGTATTTGGTGAAGCAACCTTTCACGTGTTGAAGAGAAGTGATCATTTTCATATTGTCACCCATGAACTCAGTGAATCCCAAAATACCACAGACAACGGCTGAGACGGACAAAGGAAGTTAGTAGAATAAATAATACTGTATAATAAATGGGTGTTACTTTATTGACATAAATAAAATTAAAAAAAACTTGGGTACAAGGTGTGCCAGAGGTAATTATCTTGTTTAAAGGTTGTGTTGGAAAGAAATCAGATATAAAAGTATAAAGAATCATGTACCCAAAAAATCTTGGTCGTTAGGTAGGGCAACCAATCATATGAATTTCTAAATACAGTAGTCTGGATCTCAATTTTAAATATATTAAATAATGCTTTATCATTATACAAGAAGCTTACTAAGTTCCAGAATATGCATTTAAGTACACAGTTCGAACTAGTGATAGTAATTAAGCAAAGGTTTGTTTTTAGTTTACTGTTAGGAAAGTTAGTGCTAGCAAAATTAATGTTCTCTTACAAGTACCAAAATATTATTGCTATCATCAAAGCTTGCCAAAATTCTAAGATTTATTTTCCTCAAGGTATTGTAATATTTCATGTCATTTCATTCATTATTTAGTATTAAGTTTTTTTTAAATGTTAACTTTTATTTATACACCTAATGATCACTCCTCAGAAAGGCTGCCCTAATATTCATTTTCCTAATTTATATAATTTCATTAATATGTTCAATTAATCATTAATAATATTCATTCCATAGCCTATATTTTTTTTACAAAGCCCACAACCTAATTATTTATTAAATATGTAAGAGAATTGCAATACATCAAAATTTCTTATAATATATCATTTCAAAATTAGTCCTTAAGGAATCAAAATTTAAGAAGCAGTGAAAGTGATCCCATGTGTTCAACAATGAATGATGTGAACATTGAGAAGTTGAAATTGAGAGAGAAGGAAAACATTGAGAAGTTGAAATTGTTAGAAGAAGGAGTCAAAATTTTACCTAAATCAAATTCATTCATCAAGAAGACCAGTTTCAAGTTATATCACAGTAGCCTAAACCTCAAGAGGACTCAACTCAATCATTATCTTCAAAATTAAGTACAAACTTTTCTTTAAACTTTTTTAAATCTTGTGCTAATTGGACTTACCTTTTGGACAACACCAAAATTAGATTTTCCATTGTTGAGATTGTGTAAGTTTAACACCTTAATTAGGCCTATTTGGACACTATCAAATTTATTCATTCTTAGCATTCAAGCCAGCACGACACCCTACCCTGAGATACTGTATATCACATCTAAATTATTTGAACCTTCAAGTTATTATTCAAATTTATCTTTTATTTCAATTTAATTTCAACCCCACACACCATTGTATGTGGCAGCCAGATGGCCATTAAACTGCCACATGATTGTATGTGGCATCCCGGCAACCAACAAGAGGAACTGCTTGTCTCGATTCTGTGGCGTCAAACTTCGACTCTTGGAAGGTGAAAGCTGAGGTCGTTCCTTCGCTTGTGGCCGACCACGATGGTGCTGTGATCCTGAGTGTAAATTGCTCTGAGGTAAGCCGTAATTCTAACCCTTCTTGGCTTAAGGACTACACTATCATTAAGCGACCCATCTGTATGGAAAATTTGCAACTGTTTAGGTATGAGATCTCAAATGTCGATTGGAATGTACTAAACACAGTGACTGAACCAAAACTTGCTTTTGATCTTTTCTCAGGTTTATTCTTTGATAAATTTGATAATGTTTTCCCAGTCAAACTATGTAGGCCTAACCCCAAGCGTAAGGTCTGTCCTGACGGCCCGGGTTCAAGGCATAACGAATCAGCAAATTGTTGGTACACCACTGAACTGAGGAGGATCAGAAATTACATGTTGTTTGTTTATGACCTGTATAAGGGCTCCAGTGATATGTATAGGAAAGGGCAGCTCTATTCTCTTTATTTGCAGATCAAGAGGAACTATAGGGTTAGAGTAAATGTGGCCAAGAAATCGTTTAATGCTGAATCCATCCTTAGTGCCCCTAACCCATGTAAAGCTGCGTGGGACATAATCAATAGGGAAAGAGCACCAGGTCCTGGGCCTATAATCCAAGCATCCCCTGATGAGTTTAATGAGTATTTTACAAGTGTGGCTGGAAGCATCATCTCTGATCTACCTGTGTTGCAGACGGACCCTCTGGATTCTATGCCGGACTTCTCCTCCGTCTATTCATTTACCTGCAGGAATACTGTGAGTGTAAGAGAGATCTATCATACTATTAAGAATTTTAAAGACTCTAAGAGCCAAGATGTCTATGGCCTTTCTGCACATGTTCTCAGGGCTGTTGCAGATCTTGTGGCCGTTCCTCTTACGCACCTGGTCAACTTGTGCCTGGCTCATGGATCATTTCCAGACTCTTTAAAAAAGGCTCGGACTGTGCCCATCTTCAAGAAAGGGAACCCTGCACTCATGGAAAATTTCCGCCCCATCTCTATCCTCCCTATCTTTTCTAAGGTGATGGAGACGGTGATGAAGAAGCAGCTCCTCTCATATTTTGAAAAGAATAGCTTACTGGTGGACTCACAACACGGTTTTCGTAGCGGTCGATCTACCACCTCCGCACTCCTAAGCCTGGTCGACACCATATCCCAGGCCTTTGAGGAGAATGAATCGGTCCACCTAAGCCTTTGTGACCTCAGCAAGGCTTTCGACGTTGTGTCACATGACATCCTTCTGGCCAAGCTGAGAAAATACGGAATTGGCGGTGCAGTTTTCAGCTCTCTTGCGGACTACCTTGGCAACCGCAAACAAATAGTGACAATCATGGGAGCTTCATCTACTATGGGCTCTCTTCCCCATGGAGTTCCGCAGGGATCGGTTCTGGGCCCTCTCCTTTTCACAATCATGATCAATGACCTTGCTACAACCAGCCATGCCCTCCTGTTTGCAGATGATACCACCTTGGTCACAAAGGGGAAGAACATCGACCCGGTGCTGGAGGAGGCAAACAACGCCCTGAGGCTGGCAAAGGACTGGTTTATAGCCAACAAACTCAAGATCAACGAGGAGAAGACTCAGACCCTTATGTGTTCCCTGAAGATCGGCCTTGAGGACAACAGCGTGAAGCTGCTTGGGTTCTGGATGGACTCTAAGCTAAGTTGGCACCACCACATTGAAAAGGTATGTGTAAAGCTCTCAAGAGTTCTTCACCTTTTAAGGAAGCTTAGGACCACCATTACCAGACCGTATTTGCTAGCGGTGTATCACGCACTGTTTCACAGTCACCTCACGTCTGGCCTGGTTCTGTGGGGTCATTCTCCGTCAACACAGGAATTACTCCTACTACAAAAGAGGGCGATGAGAATAATAACATCTTCTGGCTACAAAGCACACTGTCGGCCTATCTTCCTCGAGTTGGGTGTGTTGACTGTCTACAGCCAGTATGTCCTTAACATCTTGACCCTGCTGAAGATAAACATTCATCATTTTGTAGTCAGAGACAATGTACATAGCCACCATACCCGCCAAGCTTGTGACATTGATCTGCCGAGATGCCGCCTAGCCCGCTCTCTGAAGAGTTATCCTCGGTCGGCGATAAGGCTGTTTAATTCCTTGCCGGTTCATGTGCGCAATCTGGACCTTGATGATTATAAGACGGCCCTGCGTGACAGGCTGGTTAATAGGCCTCTTTACAGCCTCGAAGAATTAGGCAACGAGCCACTTTTTAGCCATTGCCACAGTGTAAATAGTATTGTGTAAATAGTATTTTAGTATTTAGTAATCTGACGCAGTCATGCCGATTTCATCGGTCAACGACATAGACTACAAGTATCAAGTAAGTAAGTATCAAGTATTGTCAATCCTTTTTTTGTAACGTCAAGCCTTTTCTCATTGCATGTTAATTGTTCATTTGTTTAAATAAAACACCTTTTGTAATTCATATCTTTGTTAACTTATTAACTTTAAACATTTATAGAATAGGTCTAACCTAAAATGAATATTATAAAGGTAAGTTTACAGTATGTTGAATGCTAGGTTTCATATCATCCTAATGATCACATACAGGAAATACCAATACAAATTGTTGATGCAAAAATAAAAGTTTTGCAAGATTTTTAACAATTTTTTGCAAAGTTAGAATTTGATAAATAAATAATGCATTTTGCTTGATTCTTCCATAACAAAATACCTAGTTTGTTTGTAGTGTTACTCTTCAATTTGTGTTTGAATAGATGTTTTAACAGCTATAAACTGATTTTAATTATTAATATCAAGAAATTTATAGCTCTTAAGAGTATTTTTGTAGATGCTGATAACAGATTCACAAAATTTAGTCTAGAATAATTTAAAAAAACAAGTATGCTTACTTTGCTCAAAGTATAAATCCCTGAATTCAGGGGGCAAGTTTTTTTCTTCCAGGTTGTGGTGTTCTTGAAAAGTCATGCTACACTTATGTTTCAAGATCTGCTCAGTAACTGTAGAATTAACCAGTTTAGTTGTGCATTTCTGTAAACAGAAATAAACTAAACTAAACTAATTAATAAGCAAGTATGGAAACTACTAAAGAAGGAGACGTATGGAGAATTAAACATTATCAGGAATGGAGAGACCTGTTCAAGGAACCTGACATAATCGCAGAGGCTAAAAGCAGGAGGCTCCGCTGGATGGGCCACATCATTAGAAGAGAGAAAACTAGCACATTATATCAAATATGGAAAAATGATCCACTGGGGAGAAGACCAGGAGGGAGACCGAAGAAACGCTGGACGGATGAAGTAAAGAAGGATATGGCCAGGAAGCCAATGAAGATACCGTAAGATACAGGACGACGTGGAGGCAGTGTGTTGGTGAGGCCACTTGGGGACAAATGGCCATGGGAGTAAGTAAGTAATTAATAGGGAGGTAAAAAAGCTAGGGGTTAGGGGGTTAAAAAGAGCTATATCATGAAGACTAGAACATTGTTAATTTAAAACAAACTGTTTTGGTTGATTTCCCTGTCAAGTTACTGAGTCCCATGACCCATTTTACTTTGTTTAAATAATCAACATGTAATCTCACCATAACACATATTTATAAAAACTTCTAATCTGTTAACTGACCTGGTTGAATATGATCCAGTACAGAACTTGATGAGTTATTAGATAATTTGTGGCATTATCTGACAATTCAGCAATGACACATCTAAAAACATCAGTGACAATTATACAATGTTATATCAAACTAATAAATATAGGATGGAGAGGACACAGCTAACTCACCTGATGAAAGGTTGCAGACGAGTCAAAGAACACATAAAATCACACACATAATATACTTAATATTTCGCCTCTTTAGCTCTTTAGAAGAGGCGAAATATTAAGTTTATTATGTGTGTGATTTTATGTGTTCTTTGACTCGTCTGCAACCTTTCATCAGGTGAGTTAGCTGTGTTCTCTCCATCCTATATTTATTAGTTTAATCCAAGCTAAATGCTTTTTCCTAAAAACATAACCTTAACAATGTTATATCATTGACTGAAAGGTTATACCAATGAAACAAACCCTTTAAGAAGCGAAGCAAAATGCTTATGGAGAATAGTCAAACTGGAATTTTGCTGCCGAAATGAGCACGGCGGCCACGCTACTCTATATCTCTCTCTAAGCAGATTCTTTGTCTCATTTAGTCAGCTGACTTGGCCGCGTGCTCGCAATAGTCTACCTTTAGCGGCCGTCGTGGGAACTATCCGAAATTCGGAAATTCAAATATTCCCAGACTGAATTTTTAACAAAGGCATTGCGTTTCTTATAGGTTTTGTATTCATTGGTTATACTCAAAGATAATACCAATGCGATATTATTAACAGCTGGAAAAATTCACATGCTGATAGTAATTTAATCTAGTGTATTAGAGTCATTACCAGACTAGACTTCCTTAGTTTACACTTATTCTTAAACTAATTGTGGTTGCTGATTACAAGATTTATTTTAGTCTGTTCGGATTAGGTAAACTGCAATGGGACTTGCCTAATACCTGACTAGTAAACTTGCTTAGTGTAAGACTATGTGAGCTTTAAGCAAATTACCTAAACATAATTGATTGACTGTATGTATTTTTTTGTTATTGGGACATTACAATGTACTTGAGTACCTGGGTGGTGAGAGACATAGAGTGAGGAGAAGACTGATGCACTCATCAGAGAGTTGTGGATTGAGTGCAAGATCTTGTTTGGCCAAGTGTAGAGATGGAGATGGAGGAAGACTAAGCTGACATCCAGGACAAGTGCTCACATTCCAAAGCTTTGAGTCGAGTGCTAACGTCACTGGATCATGATTAATATATATTTTTCACCTTTACCCACTATTTTATGCCAGTATTTAATAATTCAATTATCCTGCTTATCTGTACCAAGTTCATTTTTTATGGGTACAACTTAAATAATAATAAGTTTATTCATTGTTTTTCGTATTTGTTTTTATATCTAGAAACAAGCTGTGTGCCCGTTCTACGCACGGAGATCTTGTAGTCAGTTGGAACCTTCTTATATTCAGAACAGCAGTTGGTTTGCATATTTCCAGATATTCTGGAAAAACTATTTTAGGACATACTAACCTATGAGGCATAGCCCTAAGGTAGCCCTATAATTGAAAGTTCCTTTCTACACTGGTTAAAAGTAGGTAAAATACTACCTCAACCTCACCATTGAACACTTCATTCGGGTTGACATTTTCATTAACAAATGTGCACTTGTCTTTTCCGTTCCGTGAAATACTGAGAAATAAGGACATTAAAGCGTTACCAACAGACATATACACAAAATTACAGAATTTAATTAGGGAATTTGTTATGCTTTAACCGTAGAAAAGTACATATAAAATTAGTATTTGAAATCTACAAATCTTTGTTATTGTCATCAAATTTTATTATAACAATTTATATTTGCTTAACCCGAAGATGACCCGAAATGGTGTCAAAATGACGGCATACTCAGGTCCGCTTTTATAAGCGGGCAGACTGGGCATATGCCCAGGGGCACCAGTGGTTGCCCAGCAGGCGCCCTCCACGACCGCCCGCCTGCACTAGGAAAAAAGGGGGGCGCTGCTTTTGGGTTTGCCCAGGGCTCCACTGACCCTTAACGCGGCCCTGGAAATGAAGTACTAAAGATGATTTAGATTGGTAATTAACAATACACAGGCCACGAACTATTGATACATAAACAATGTAAAGCGTAAACAATTCATGATGGTTTGCCCAACAAAAGTTTTACTTAAACGTGTTATCAATTCATAGCATAAACAAACATTTTGGAATCCAGACAGAAAACCCAAAACTTAGGAGTTAGACAGCAATTAAATTTAATACGATTGTTCCTACGTAAAAATGATTCTTACTGCTACCACCAAGGAAAAGAACAAGATCTTAAAACCAAAGTTTAAAGCTAAGAACTAATAGTACATCCAACCAATTAAATGCGTTAACCAAGTCCCGAGGTTATTGATCCCCCTTGGTTCTGGATTTTCTCACTAAAAGTTATTGGAAATCAAAGTTATTTCCCATTAATTGCATTATTTATAAACAACTTTTAATGTAAACATATATCAGTGACAGTTTGAAAAACAACCTTATCCAAACAACGGTTGGTTATTTAATAGATGACGTATTCTCATAAAAATCACTCAAGGTTGGGTTTATGGACGTTTGTAATTTGATTTCATAAGTGTAGTTCCAAGGCCATGTATTCTAGGGAAAAGTACCGGTATCATTGATATCGGTACTTTTCGGCGGGTAGTAGAAACCGAAAGTGACACATTGGAAAAGCGAGTTTAGTATCATCCGTAAACCTCTGTTACTCACTGCAGTTGTGATTTTTTTACTTTAGACTTTACACAACCGTAATTGAAGCGCCGTCAATGAGTGGAAACCTTGTTTGTAAGCTATTGGCGATGATGATTTAAAAAATGTAAGTTTCCCAGCCCTAAAACACTGATTCAAGGTATTTTTCCCGGTTATCAAAACTCAAGAACAATTTGATACACAAAGAATCTCCGGTTCCTGACCTGGATGATGCCTAGTTATTTAATTTAATTTACTGTTGCACATTATTGCACTTGCGATTAATTAAATCCATTATGTAAGTAAAAAACGTTTTTGATCACTTGGTTTGGATTTGCTTCAAAACGTGATAGGAAATGGTTGTGGTATTTGTAAACAACATTTATGTAAAAATATCAGTGACAACTAGAAAAAATAATCTTGATCCAAACAGCTGTTCGTTATTTCATAGATGACGTATGTGATAAACATTGGGAGAAAACTTGATGAAAATCGCACAAAACTGGGTTTTTAAACATCCGTAATTTTATTTACAAAGTAGTGAGGTCATATCTTAATGGCTAAAGACACTCTTGCCAATCCAGTTAATACATTAAAATGATTTGAATCTTGATAGGTACTCCCCTTTTTCAGGAGATGGCTGAGTAAAAATACCTTCTGGGCTATGACAGATAGACAGACAGAAATTGATATAAGACTTATTTTGGCTCCTTTAATTTAATGTAAAAATAACCAAAAAATATATAATTCTGAGCAATTTACAGACAACCCCCTAATTTTATTTATATAGATAGATGAAGCTGTTGAAAGTTTAACTTTTTATCATAACAATTATTTCTCAACTGTGAAATTAGTGCAAAAGAAATCCAAGTTGGCTTTTGATTGCAGAAAATAATTCATAGTTGAGCAAGTATGTCTCAAAAACATTTGGACACTCTGGAACAGTTGACAAAATTCCAATTTGAATGACTGCAACAATTGTTATTGCACTTGTCTTTTCAAATGCACATTACAAGGATTAAAATGTTTATGAAATTTTTTAATTTTTTTTGTTCGCTGTTGTTATGTTTCCTAATTTTTACAATCCTGCCTAAATGAGCCTTAATATTATGTATTTTAAAGGACACTCATAAAGTCAAAGTTTCTAATTTTTTACTAAATTGACGACCATATTACCTACCTGGTAATATGTAATAAATATTGTTAAAAGTAAATCTAAACACATTTATTATACTTACATGGTTCCTTGTTATCTTTTGCTCTGTCGATTAAATTCTCACATTTCTTACATAAAACTTCAACTGTTGGCTGAATATGTTGTAAATGTTTTTCATGTACATGTTTCTCTAAAATCTCAAGTTGTGCTGAAATTCATATACGTACTTGGTTTGAATTTTTAATATAGTGTCAAATAAATTGAAAAATATTTTTACAACTAGGTATAAGTGTAAATATATGTTTTAAGTGTTATTAGACTAGACATATTGGTTATTTACTTTCCGTGAATTTAATAACACGTACAATGCTGGTGAAGAAATTATTTAATAATTTTTGGGCAAGCCTCTGAAAAGCTGGTTAAGTTTTTGCTTTAAATTTTGAATACAAATTTACCTATGGCCGTCCGGTAGAAACTTACAACTAACCTATTATTTTTAAAGATTTAAACATCTTGACAGCGTTAAAAACAATTATTAAAGGCTAAATAAGAAACCACTTACTAGAAATTTAATTACTAAATCATTCTTCTCCATTTAAACTTTTTCAAACCAAAGAAATTCAATAAAAAAATTACCTTTTGCAATTGATACTCCGAGGATAAAATTCAAATTGGTAATTTCTTTTCTGATTCCAAAATCAAGAACTGCATCAAGATTGTTAAACAGATTTGAATAAGCAGAGCTTATGCTGAAAATAAGAAAAAATACTTTTAAATGCATAGCTTGAATCAGATTCAATAAACACTAAGGAACAATCACTGTAAAGAACAGTTGTCGAATGAAATTCAACATCAGTACTGGAGGGGTGGTGATGAAGAGGGATTAGGCTTATCAAGAAAAATCACCAGCATTGACTTTGTTTACCACGGAAAGATAGCCTTAGGAATTTAAAGATCTGCTTTAATTTTTCATTTAGATTGTATTAGGATAATCATTTTGCTTGGGGCAAACAAATTAGATTTTTATAAAAAGCATACTGGACAGTTCTGTAAAGTGCTAGTTTTATAATTGGGTATTGTTAATATGATTACTTAAATATAACTGTATGAATGATTACAGATTGATGAATGAATGGATATATGGGACTGAGATTATATTTTTACATTATAAATCAATAATGCTTGTTAAGCTATAGAGGAACTCCGTTTACAAAATGTAGGTCGTTTGCGGGGAAGTTCCCCCATTACTTTTTTACTTCCCGGTATGCTATACTATATAGTTATGGAGAAAGTATTGTTTTACAAATTTTCGAGTTTGAGTTTTGAGTTGATGTATCCGTTTTGGGTCCCCCTGAACCCAAAAAGTAGTTTTCAAAGTGATTTTTGTCCGTGTGAGTAAAATGTGTGTGTGCAGATTTTTTTTGTTGATAGATTTGTATGCCGATCTGTTCCCGGAAAAATGCCGCGGACTTAACTTCAAAATCCGAGAATCTTTTAGCCCTTGTAGTGGCACTTATGGCTTTCAGACAAGCTTTCGTAATGTCCGAGATTTGGTGCCCACCAGTAATGGCTGCTGACTTGCGTGGCATATATGTGGTCATAGACTGATACAATCAGTTCCATTGTATACATTATACCAATGCCTTGGCGTCAGCACAGGTGCAGCAGAATTCTCCAACACTCCCCAAAAGATTACCTCGGGGAACTTTCTCTGCATCCAGCTATCGGCAAAATCGTATCTCAGGGACTTGATGATCGATTATGGTGCCCATCAAGTGGCTATATAAAACACTATCTCCTTGTGTTCTTTGATGACTTTCCAGTTAGAGATCCCCCACTAAATTCCGTGATGCCCACACCGGGTGCCAGAAAATAGGTGTTTGGCACCCATTCAGGACAACGAGTTGGCCCTGGCTGTAAAGTGTTTAGGATTTTACCTATGAATTTGTAGAGGACATTCCCCACTAGACAGCGCTAGCGTTAAAATCACCAGTGGCAGTGATGATGTTGTTGCCAGTAACATTTTTCTATAGGCAGACAATCTTCAAAATTCCCTAATGGGCTTGTTGCGGTTAAGGTAGAAACTGAGAAAACGTGATGTCTCTAGACCTGACCCAAACGAAGCTACAGCCGTGTCCGTGAGCCCGCACTGGTGCTTCTATGCTGTTTCACACCTCGCCCAACAAGTGGCAGTGTTCTCAGAATCTGGGAACCAAAAACGTGGTTCACTGTGAAGGGTCTGATCACTGATCAGAAGAGCGTCTGTGCCGATTTCCTGAGCCAACAGATCTAAAGGTAGATTATCATAGAGAAATCCCACTTTTAAGGTCGAGTCCGGCCTTAAAAGTGCTGCATCGCCAGTCCCGGTAATTTTGTGGTCCAATGAGGTGAAATGTTGGCCTTTCTCTGTGTAAAAGGAACTGCTGTGCTGAGCAGTTTTTCCAATTGTGGCACAAACCGATGCACTGAAAACAATTCTTGGCTTGGTCAAGTCCCCTACAGTTTCGGGAGGAGAGATTAAACCCAAGGCATCAAATCGAATCGAAAGCATACATAGCAAGACCATTACTCTTCATCGGAGCCTACGATTGACCCGCCCATTCTCTGTTGTGTGCTAGGAGGATTAAACATTAAGGAGAGGACACGATGTAGTTTCGTTGAAGCCAGTGTACTGGTGACTGGGGAGGGGGGGAGGCAGCGCTACTCTCCCGCCCCCCTCTCATACTGCATTGTATGCGTTACTGGAAGATTTGGTAACAGAAATATCAATTAACTATTTAAAAATTAGACTTCATCATGCTACGAAAATTAAAAAGTTAAATTCTAACCGTAATATTAGGAACCTATTAAGAGGAAAGTCATATTTATGAACCAATAGTACGTTCAAAGGTGAGTAATTTACACAAAGATGACTTATTTTTTGGAACTCTTTGTCCTTGTTTTTATTTTTTGCCATACTTGTATTGTGTATTATTTATAATACTCTAACCAGGACTCCGGTTCATGGGGTCCCGGGTTCAAATCCCGCCATATCAAGAATGGATTTTACTGTTCATAAATTAAAACTCAAATCATGAGTATAGTACTGTATGTGTATTTGAACATTTTCTTAAAGAGAAATACAAATAAGTTTTTATCCTTTAAAAGAATGATAAACACACTTTGGCGGTCAGAAGACGCGATGATTGTTAAACATTTACACTTTTTACTCAAAGTTTCTTTGGGCAAACAGATCAAAAATAGTTCAATATGATATTAAAAAAATCAAGAATTTGATTGTCAAGAAATTGTTTTACTTTTTACGATTGTAATTTAATTGTAACGGCTGTTGGTGTAAAAAAAGTTAGAGCGGCTTTGCATTTTTTCTTAACTTTGGCTATTTAAAATCACCTGCCTAGCACATAAATGACTTAAAACTAGGAAAAAATGTTATTGACAAATCGAGAAAACTATGAAAAATGCAAATTTAAAATGTATTTCACCACCCGAATTAAAATTTTCATTTTAACCTATTATTAGTAAGATTTTTTTATAAACTGGAAAAAATAAACTTTATTGTAATTATTTTCCTAAATACCACTTTTAAATATAGGTAAATATATATTTTTTATTTCGAGAAACTCTTAAGGAACATACGAATAAATTGTTAATTTGTGTAGATACATCATATTTTTTTTTTCAAAAACGTAATTAAAGTAATCATATGTTCAAAGTCCAGGTCAATTCTTTCAACTTGCATCTTCAATAATAAATAATAGTTTTTATAGGAATGATTGACACCATTCGATAGGAAATTTAATTTACTTTAAGAATGCCATCGGTGAATAACACAGGTGTTTTAGTTTAGCGGGAATTTTAATTCGAAACAGCGCGCGTCGCGTTTTTCCCTATCTCTCCCATGTTATAGCCGAGGCTTTTTGCCACTCTACAGCTCCGCGTGCCCCTCTAGTGTTCTGCTAAAGCTGGCTTCACAGCAACACGTGTATTCCTATTCGCGTGCCCTCTCCTTTATGTTTAATCCTCCTAGGTTGTGTGAGATCCAGCATCAACTTGCTGGCATCTTGGTCTCGCATGTCAGCGACCGCCGGAAAAGTGAAAGAGGAAACAAATGAAAAATGGGCCAAATAATGAGAAACAATAAGTTTTTCAAAATTTTAAGATCCTTTTACCAAAAAAAAAAAACCTAAAAATATATTTCCTCTCTTAGTTTTTGCATTTTTGTTACTGACATAATGACATAATACCCCCGCCGCAGCAATCCTGACGCCTAAGCGAATTTCCATTTGGCTGAATTGATTTTCAATTGATCTATTTAAATAACATTAGGTTTAACGAGTACCTAGGTTTGCTGCTACAAGGAAACTAATAAAGTGTGTGTTTTAAGTAAAATAATTATTGCTTAGTATAAAATGAATATATTTGCCAAGTTTGATCAAAAGATATCCATAAACAAGCAAACTACAACATTTTACAATATTATCCATAAGAATAACATATGGGAATTTTAAATTTACCATTTTTTTAGTTTTCTCCGTAACCAATAACCGTACAAAAACACTTTGATATACTGAATTGTTTGTTTTTTTAAGCTCTTTAAGAAGGTTTAGAGAAAAATTGGGAAATTTTGTGTTTTGAGGGTCAAAAGTGAGAAAAACCAATTTTTACCCCATAAAACCCTGTTCCCATGGTCCGATCATGCTGGATCGCGAACTCATTCAAGTTTATCCCGCCTTACACCTTCAAACCAAATTTCATCAAAATCGTATAAAAATTACTCAAGTTATCGTGTTCACGGACACATATATATATATATACATATATAAAAATTTGAACGAGTGGTGTTTTTGGCCTCAGTGGACATCAAAATGAAAAAGAAAATCGGTCCCGGGCCTAAGTCTTACCATGAGACCTACGGTAATAGCTACTTCCCTATAGGGAAATTCGCTAAAAGATGCCTTCGCTTAAGTTAGTAAAAGCATAGATAAATCAGTGTTGCTTAGTCTGTGAGTATGTTTTATCTATGGTAAAAGCTCGTAAAAGTAACAAGAAAAGGAGGACTATCGTTGACATGCACATTGATTATATTTTACTAGCCTGTCGTTATATCTGAAAACAGCTGTCTAAAGTCTTCTTCTTCCTCTCAATTTTCTCACTGTCTGCCGTCTGCTGTCGCTATCTATCTGGTTAGGATCTGTTCTGTCTGTCTTGCTTTTTGGGCTGTTCGATCAAGTTCGTTCTTTAGTTTTCCGCAACTTTTAATCAAAAATTAAGGATTAAAATGGCTTTCGGAGACTACCCAGCGGAATACAACCCTAAAGTTCATGGCCCTTATGATCCTGCAAGATACTACGGAAAACGTATGTATAATGGAACTTCGCTCAAACCAATTTTGCTACTTCGGAAAAAGTAACCTAGTTTTGACCTTAGGATTGCTCTATGAAAGATTTATATTCTTTTAACATTTTGATATACCTATTTATAAGATGTTGCCTGGTTTGTTCTAGTAGAAAACAACCAAAGATTTTTAGGAAGTAATTAGTAAATAATAAGTAGGAAAGCCTTTTAGTTCTAAGTAATTAGGCTTAACTTACTACGTAACTTATACTGTAATGATAAATTATCACTTTACTTTTTATACTTTACCACAAAAACTGTCCTATTGAGGTAAGCCTAGGCTTAGTTAATTTTAATTTTAGCAAATTTCCCTATAGGGAAGTAGCCATTACCGTAGATGGCACA